ATAGGTAAATATAACATATGCTGCATTATGCCAAGTAAGTAAAATATATAAGAAAACAAATAAATAGGTGAATAAATCAAAGAAAAATAAATAAATTTTTGTATATAGAAATAAGGAAAAAGTATTTGACTTTCAAATAACATGTTTAGTACACACAAAAAAATATCTTACCAGGTTTGGACTTATATAGTTGGGATTCTGCCACAGTGTTTCTCCTCCAAAGCTACCTGCGAACACTTTTATTGGGTTCAGGACAAACCGTGGACCTAAAATGAAAAAAAGAAAAAATGTATATGTATATAAAAGTACATATTCATCCACTTAAACACTTAAGAAACAAAAGATCTTCAAATCAAATATTAGTTGTACATTAGGTAAGATGCCATATTGTAATATCAATACATTAGAAAGTGACAGTAGCAATTCTCTCCTTTGCTAAGTAGGTTTCCTTTTATATGCAACATTTTCCTTCAAATCAAAGTAAATCAAATTAAGAGGAAATCTATAAAGACAACACACTTACCAATCTCTGATAACTTCCCATCTGCTCCTAGTATTTCAAAATTACGGAACCAGATTTTCCCATCCACAATGGTGAAAGAGTAGACGTGATCATGGAATGGTTGACTTCTCGGATGGTAGTTTGGGATGCCGAAGGTTTGTATGAATAATTCCTTCATGACGGCCCAATGTGGCTCATTGAACTGCGGATCAAAGCTGAGAAGTGGTCGAGCTCCTCGCAAACAGTTTCCGGTCATTTTCAGTTCGCCCATGGTGTGAACTAGAAGAAAAGAAAATCTAAGGTTAATATCCATATTTACAAAGGCATATACATGCACTCAAAGCTACACATGCACTCTTTTTCCACTTTTTAAAATTATCATCAGCATTACCTTATTATAATTACAATGCTTTATACTGTACTTTATATTGGTAAAATACTCCCACAATATAATATAAAAAGAGGGAATTTATTACTTACCATTCAAGACTAAGAACTTGATGGATGGTCCATTGGGAACTTCTGAAATCCACATGTAAAAATCTTTTTTCTTTTTCATTTCGAAGTATATACACTTATTACAATTCTTCATCTCTGCAATCTGAAAAATAACAGAAAAAGAAATTATTAGTAACTCTTCCTAAATATAAAACTGGAATAAGTATCGCCATACACTTATTTAATAAATGTGAAGAGAGAGAGAGAGAGAGAGAGAGAGAGAGAGAGAGAGAGAGAGAGAGAGAGAGAGAGAGAGAGAGAGAGAGAGAGAGAGAGAGAGAGAGAGGGAGAGAGAGAGAGGGAGAGAGAGAGAGGGGGGGGGGAGGGAGGGAGGGAGGGAATGAGAGAGGGAGGGAGGGAGGGAGAGAGGGAGGGAGAGAGAGAGGGAGAGAGAGAGGGAGGGAGGGAGGGAGGGAGGGAGGGAGGGAGAGAGAGAGAGAGAGAGAGAGAGAGAGAGAGAGAGAGAGAGAGAGAGAGAGAGAGAGAGAGAGAGAGGGGGGGGTGAGGGAGGGAGGAAGGGAGGAAGGGAGGCAGGGGGAGAGGGAGAGGGAGAGGGAGAGGGTGAGGGAAGGAGGAAGGGAGAGAGGGAGAGGGAGGGAGGGAGAGGGAGGGAGGGAGAGGGAGGGAGGGAGAGGGAGGGAGGGAGAGAGCGAGAGAGAGAGCGAGAGAGAGAGAGAGAGAGAGAGAGAGAGAGAGAGAGAGAGAGAGAGAGAGAGAGAGAGAGAGAGAGAGAGAGAGAGAGAGAGAGAGAGAGAGAGAGAGAGAGAGAGAGAGAGGGAAAAAAAAAAAAAAAAAACACCTATGTGTCACTAAAATGGAAACTGCTACAGTAGGAATACTACAATAGGGGCACCAATATAAGCGTGCATGTGTGTGTGCATGCATGTATGTGTGTGTGTGTGTGGGTGGGTGGGTGGGTGCATGTGTGGGGGTGTGGGTGTGCGTGCGTAATAAGCAGATAAATAAACATTAAAGAAAATTACCTCATTAATAATTCTGAGATCATCCCTTTTCTGCTTCTTCACTTCTCGTCTGGAATGAGGCATTAGGGTGCGCAGATTTTCCATTAGATGCCTTTCTCGATATCCTATACCTCTTGAGCCAAATATCAAAACACGTTGTTTGTTTGTCCATTTTTTCTGAAAAATAGAGAGAGTATATCATGAGACAAGTGTGAAGGTAATGAGTTATGCAGTATAGTTTTATTTTCCTTTTACAAGAGGAAAATTAGGTATTTGTAGAGTGAAATCTGTCCATTGCAAAACTGAAGCCTGTTTCTCCACTTTGGGTATATCTTTTCATCAGGACTATCCTAAAGCAAATTAGTACACTAGCAACAGAAATAAAATCTGCAAAAGTGAATGTATGGCCCCTGTTATTCTTCAATGATACACCAACTTGAGTGCCTGCCTACCGCGGTACTCCTGCCTTTGGCACTAAGGGTGAAAAGGTAACAAAACTACACCATAAATATTCTAGTAAAATGGAGCTTGTATATTGGCCTGGTGATTTTGCTATCAATTGAGGAACCAGTCCAAGCTCCATCTTGCAAAAAATGATGAGTTATTACAATACTTACAAGAAGTAAAACACAACAGAAGACCTATCAATTCTATAAATTTGGAGGAGCAATTATTTCACAACTAAGGCAAGATACTACTAGGCTACTCAGAAGCCTATATGGATAAGTAAATTGTGACAATATCACATACTTTACAATTTCAAGCATATTCTACAAGATCTGCAACTCCTCCTCACCCCTAAACAACCCCACAAAGCTTCTGGACGGGAAGGGGGGTGAACTAACAGGAAATCAACAGTTTAAGTCTGAAATAATGGCCCTCGAAAGTCATGAGCTCTTCCACTACCAGTTTTCATATCTATTTCGACCTAAACATACTCATTTGACTTTAAATTATGGTCTAATCTGTCTCTCATTACTATCCAAGCGATACAGAGACACCGCAAACTCTAACATAACCCCCCACTTCGACTGAAAATTAAGAACAACCAAAAAATCCGCTGCGTGAGGCGTAACACCCCGCAAGACACGCCGCGGCAGAAACCAATCTATATATCCTTAAAACGTTCCTCAATAAAACACAATACCATACCTTTAACTTCTTCTTCACTGGAACATCTGAATCCCTCGTCAGTGGAGGAGTAAAACCCGTTGGCGCCGCTGGAGTTTGTGTCTCTTCCTCCTCCTCCTCAACGGCCTTGCGTGCTCGCTTCTTCGCCATGTTGTCCCGACTGACCACGCTTGTTTGTTGTCGTTCGTGAATCTTCTTGCGGATGCTGGCGAACGTGCTTTTAGGAAAACGCGCTTTGATTTTATTTGATATTATTTGATTTTATGTTGAAGTGGATAAAGTAGTGGAATAGGTTTAGCATCAGTTTTTTCATTTGTTGATATTTAAGATATTTGTGTGGGCTATGCGATGTGAATTATCTCTTTTTTTATACTGCTTCTTCTCATGATTGTTATTTTCTTCTTAGCTATTTCAGTGCAATTATCTTTGTGGAAAAAATCTGACTTCCTAATGAGTTTTATACATAAGAAATGTTCTCTCTCTCTCTCTCTCTCTCTCTCTCTCTCTCTCTCTCTCTCTCTCTCTCTCTCTCTCTCTCTCTCTCTCTCTCTCTCTCTCTCTCTCTCTCTCTCTCTCTCTCTCTCGCTCTCTCTCTCCCTCTCTATGTATGTATATGTATATACACACACACACATATATATAATATATATGTGTATATACATAATATAAAGTATATATAATATACATACATACATACATACATACATACATATATATATATATATATATATATATATATATATATATATATATATATATATGTATATATATATATATATGTATATATATATATATATATATATATATATATATATATATACATATATATATATATATATATATATATATATATATATATATATATATATATACATATATATATATATATATATATATATATATATATATATATATATATATATATATATACATACATACATACATACATACATACATACATACATACATACATACATACATACATACATACATACATACATACATACATACATACATACATACATACATACATACATACATACATACATACATACATACATACATACATACATACATACATACATACATACATACATACATACATACATACATACATACATACATACATACATACATACATACATACATACATACATACATACATACATACATACATACATACATACATACATACATACATACATACATACATACATACATACATACATACATACATACATACATACATACATACATACATACATACATACATACATACATACATACATACATACATACATACATACATACATACATACATACATACATACATACATACATACATACATACATACATACATACATACATACATACATACATACATACATACATACATACATACATACATACATACATACATACATACATATATATATATATATATATATATATATATATATATATATATATATATATATATAACCGCACATACACTCACATTCACAAGCATTTTCCACGGTGCAAAAGACATCTGAAAAGAAACCAAGATAATGAGATAGCGTTATCCATTTATCTCGACCTCGATCTATAATGGACAGAACAACCTGTGGCTGTGATCGCATATCACGCTCCTACTGCATCTACCTGTAGTATAATGATTTCGCGTAGTCTTTTCCCTTAATTATAACGTGCACAAGGGAAACTTCCACATCCCTTTATATTTAATGCCGCATTACAAGTAGAGGACGGACACTCACAAGGAAATATACCAAGAGTAAATATACGTAAAAGTAAGATATTACATAGCCGAATATACAAGATAAGGAAATAAATAAACAAATAAATAATATATATAACGGCATGTATCCGGATTCACGCCTGCATGCGGATTGGTAGTTAGCAGAACGCCGTAGACATCAGCTGGACGCACAACAAACGTCAAATATAAATAGTAAGAATTTCATGTAAATAAACAGTCAGATATATCATTCAAGAGGTAATTTCATGTAAATAGGCAAATGTTAGGGGGAGAGAGCAGGTAAATCGTCTTTAATTGTGTAACGTGGAGTTGTTAATGAGAGATAATTGGAAATGTAAATGGAATGATATAGGTCTTCGTTTATTTTTTTATTTTTTATTTTATTTATTTTTTGTTATATTTATTGTTATGTTTGTTATTTCGTGTCTTTTCTCGGTTGATTTCGTGATATACGTAAGAATTACCGTTTTAGTAACTTACGAGGCTGTTTTTATGTGAGATTTTCATGGTTTTTAATGTTCTGGGTTTTTATGTGCTATTTGTCTTGCTTAAATTGAGCAGAAACCTGTTAAATGCAGATTATTATAACATTTAAATGCAATTAGCTTAAGGAATTCTCTGAACTAGGATTGACATGAAGATTATCCAGTGTGTCATATTTTTGCTGAATTAACATTTTTTCATTGCTAGTCTGTAACCTCTCTTTGTTTTTTCTTTTTGTTATTATGAATGGTATATATTCTATAATGATTTTAAAAATTGTATTTTGATTTTGTTTATTGTAATTCCCTTGCCTTTTAGGAAACAATAAGAGTCTTCTTTCACAGATAAGATACTGGGACCTGAATTTAACATAAGAGTTTTATTTGTCATGCATTGTTTGTTAGTGTAAGTAGGATTTACCTCTTTCTGAATACATCTTCTCTGTTTTCACGTTTTAATCAGTGTTTGATTTGATACCTCTCATTTTGCAGAATCCCATGATTTATTGCTGAATTGCTAATATATGATTTTTTTCCTGTTTTCAGATGTAGTTTCAGTATTTTTAGTATTAGATGTCCAGGTTCTTTGTTTGTGTTCTGGAAGGTACAATGTCTTGCTTTAACCCTACTGAATAGCCTTGTCAAGACAAAAGAAAAAATAGAAGATTCTATTTTTTCTTTGTCTCTAGATTGTGATGAATGTTCATTGTACTGATTCATGGATTATCCTATCCTATTGATGGGAAAACAAAGTGTGTATATCAATGTTTATATATGAAAGACTTTTTTTTGTTTCCTATAGGGATGACATAGTTTTATTCACTTGATGTGAATGGTTGATATTTAGTATATAAATGAGCAAAGATAGTAAACCAACTTTAAAATAAATCTTAAAGAAAAGCTAAGGACAGTATATACTATTGGGTATAGATAATAATGTTCTAGTGGACCCCCTGATGTTTTGATATTAAATATGGATTCTTTCCCATACTTTCTCTTGCTAAAAATTTGTGGGATTAAATTTGTTGGCCTTTGTAATAACAGGGAATCCATAATGTCACTTCCTATGGTCCTCTTCTGAGAAATTACTAATACATTAATTTATTTTTAACTTATAGGGAGTACATATGAGACTGAAATATGGTTGACTGTTTAATTTCTTTATATTTGTTCTTTACTTGGAACTCTTCTTATTATATTATGTAAAGAGTTGATTTTAGATGACAAAGGAAATTTCTATGTAGACATTAACATTTTTCCTTTTCTACAGAACAGAAATGTCAGCTGGGAAAGTGACAGTGCATCCAATAACCAACAACCCCACACAGGCATGGGAGCAGATTCGAACGACTCAACGCACCATCAAGCTCAATGTGAAAACACCAACCACACCACCTGATGAGAACATGGTATTATATTTCATAGGATGAACTGATAAGAGTATTTAATAGTACTATGCAGATATCTATTGCTTAGGTATTATAATTTATAGGATGAACTGATAATAGTATTTAATAGTGCTATGCAGATATCTATTGCTTAGCCCGCTCATGAATCTATACCACTCCTTATGTCTGTTAAAGCATGTCACTGTGAGACAGACAGAATACTATATATCAAGATTTACTCTTACATTTCATATTCTGATATTCTGTGATAATCCGTGTTTTAATCATGTTATAGTTGTATTTATTCTTTTCATTTTTGTGATTTTAGTGGTCAACATTTTGAGAAGTGATAAAACTTTATTGTTGGTGATATATGATATATTTAGACATACATATATTATATAAAACAAAAATTCTATGTAGTCCCAAAGGAAATTATATGATAGTTTTTTTTATGTTCAAGGAACTAAGTATTATACAATTAGATGTTAACCTCATACAGATCAATAATTCATTGTTCGATACCATTTGGCACTTCTATCTTCTTGGCAGTTATTTACTGTATAGTATTTTCCAGAATTAATCCTGCATTGGCCATTAATCAGTGTAAAGAAAAAAGATAATACAAGTACCCCAAATTTTTCAGTTGCGTTTTGTGTGTATGAGTGACACCCACAGTCTGACATCACACATCCAGCTGGACATACCAGACGGTGATGTCTTCATTCATGCGGGAGATTTCACTCGGTGCGGCAGTGCTGTTGAGGTGGAAGAATTTAACAACTGGATAGGTAAGGGTGTCTACGGGGAATGTGTACTTCTTTATTTCATCACACTAATTTTATTTTAGGTTGGAGAATTCAGTAAGTTGTAAATACCCAATGATATATTGTAATATTATTATTTAACTATCTTGCTATTTTGTGGGTGTTGAATATGTGATACATGTATAAGAAATCTGTCAGTAATTTCTGCACAACTTACTTTCATTTTATATGTGTATAGCTTTAGTATTTGTATCATATTGGATGATATAGATATTTTAAAGTCTATGCTTTGTGCTTTATTCATGCTAGGCATAGCAACACTGTTAAGTAACTTTGCAAGATTTTCCATTTGTTTGATTTTGAAATACATATGAAGAACAGTATTTGTTATTATAACTAGATTTGAATTTCTTTTCATTATTCATGTATTTTTTCCAGGTGCTCTTCCACACAAGCACAAGGTTGTTATAGCTGGTAATCATGAATTGAGCTTTGACAGAAAGTTCACAACCACCACAAGACAACATCACAAAACAGCACATACAGGTATATATCTTTATCATGATGAACTTTATATAACCAAATTGCATACTTGCAAACAAAAGTGAGAGGTAAAGATAAAATAGACACCATAATTTTTTAAATTACAGAGGAACTGAACAGATAAGATATGAACTTACTCTTTGATTACTTTTGCAGGAGACAGTCTTATCAATGAGATTCCAGACCTAGGGATGGAGCGGGAGGAATTGTGCGCAGCTGTTGCTGAGCAAAACACAGTTGATTTGGTGACGAATGCTATCTACTTACAGGATCAGGCTCTCACAATAAGCGGGATCAGACTCTATGGAACGCCATGGTAAATAGCTGTAGAAACTTTTTAACAGTATGTGTAATTATAAAGTGTCACATTTTACAAGACCTCATTGCATGTGAAAAATAACACTGACTTATGCATTAGAGTTTTTTTTTTGAAGATAGCTTTTACATGAACCATAAATACTAACTTTTTTAAAAACCCAATAAAGAGGATTACTTCATTTGCAATACTGTCACCTGCTAGACTGGAATGTAGTGGATTCTGAGGTAAAAGGCAGTTTTTTGAAGCTTGCAGTCAGTCCTGAGCACAGCAGCTTTCTTATAACAAATCACAAAGTAACCCAAAGCACAATGAGCAAGAAGTTTTAACGAGCAGAGTTAATTTTGAAAAAAATGTGTAAAGAAATGGCTTTTGTTCTAGGGAAATGCTTTTGTAAGTTGTGTAGAAGTATTTATGTGTTGGTATGTTGGTGGTGAATATATATATATATATTTTTTTTCTCATTTGAATTACCTTAATACATGAGCCATATAGATCTAAAATTGTTTTAGCTCACAAAGAACATACTGTTTTCAAAGTAGAATTCATTATATAATGTTTCAGTAATTATTTGTCATAGTTGATACTTTTTACAAAACAATAGCAGAATATTAACCATGTGCTTATCCTCAACAGGCAGCCAGAATATTGCAACTGGGCCTTCAACTTACCAAGAGGCACATCCTGCCTGGAGAAGTGGGATGCCATCCCTGAGGATACAGATATCCTGATCACCCACACCCCTCCTGTGGGTCATGGGGACCTCTGCTGCACGGGGGTGAGGGCAGGATGTGTTGACCTCCTGTCCACTGTGCAGACCAGGGTTAAACCTAAGTACCATGTATTTGGGCATATTCATGAAGGTAAGTTCTAGGGGGCGTTTTTGTTCTTTTGGTTTTAGGGGAAGTAAGAATCCTTTTTTTTTCCATTTGATTTCCTTATTTCTTTTTAAAGCTCTCTTTGTTGTTTCTTCTTCCTTTTTTCTCTTTATAGTTCATAATTTCTTCTCTGTTTAAGTCCTTCCTGAAGGAGTGAGATATACTGAATGATTTAGCTTAAATACAAAAACTAACATCCAAACCAAGTTTTATTTTTTTATACATGTCTTGTATAGTGTATTTCTGTTCTGTTTTGTTTCTTTATTTCACAATATCCTTTAAAAGTGAGAATGATAAAGCGACAGAAAGAGTAATGTAAAATCTAGGTAAAAAAGATGCTTAGGATTTAAGATTACAGGTTAGCCAACTTATACAAGAAATTTGTGATATGAAAAAAAGATCTTTGGTAGTGACCCACTTGAACTGACAGTTGTGTAATACTATTATCTATATCCGTATAATATTATTTTATATCTTCATTTGTCATTTTCTCTCCTAGGTTACGGTGTGACAACAGACGGAAAAATAATTTTCATCAATGCCTCGACTTGCAACATCAATTTTGTCCCAATCAATCCACCTATTGTGTTTGATGTCCCTATCCCTTCAGGCTTCTCAAAGTGACCAACCACCTAAACTGCCTAGGATGGAGCTCATATAGGACTGGTTTTTGTTGTTAAGTATGGAAAACACCCAAGATACTACAAGGATCCGGAGAATTGGGTAAGGGAGAGAGAAAAAAGGATATAACTAATATAAAGGAAGTAATGTTGGGATTTAGGCCTGGAACTGTATATTATTGCTGTGTGCTGAGTATTATTGTATGTATAAGATGGTAGAACTTAATTCATCAGCTACCAGTGGAATTTGATGGAACTGATGTAGGAGGCTTTGAGTATTTAAACAAACAAAAACACACACAAACAAACAAACACATACACAAAAAATAAGCAAACACAAACAAATACATAAACAAAACAAACAGACAAACAAATAGACAAATAAACACACACACACACACACACACACACACACACACACACACACACACACACACACACACACACACACACACACACACACACACACACACACACACACACACACACATACACACACACACACACACACACACACACACATGTTTCTATATATATATGTATCTGTGGACACATTCAAGCATCTGAAACTTTGCTACTGCTTATATCATAGCAAATTTTGATTGCTATAAAGTCTTGCTGCATACTAGAGTATACAAAGAATAATGATTGATATTTTGACCACTGTGATAGTGACATGAATGTTTACATCCTTAACATTCCTTATCATTATGCACACCTAAGAAATTAAAGAAACCAAGTGCAAGAGTAATTTTAGCAGTGAATTTCAACTTGAATTCAATTGATTTGTGATTTGGCCTAATGTTTAAAAGTTAAAAGAGGAATGAAAAGAAATTTAAGACATAGAGTACGTATGAACTTTGATCATATTGAGGAAGTTCACCTTTTATTTTTTCAGTGACGTTTCATTATTTAAAGGGGAAAAAAAAGAGAAAAAAAGAACTCATCATTTCTTAGTTGCAGTCATAGGAGGAGAAAAGGGATAGGAAAACCCATAACGGTCGAGAACTGCGCGTAAGGTGAGGGAGAGTATTGACGATAGGTTTTCCCTGCTGTTGCATAATTTGCATTCCCATTTGTTACCGTAAAGCAGTTGATAAGTAAAACCTTTTTCTGCAAGGCTTTTTGCCCATTATGAGAAGGCTTTTTTTTTTTTTCTTCTTCTGTACTTTTTTTTTTTAGATAGATAGGTAATTATTATTTATTTATTTATTTATTTTAGTAGAAGGACCTTATACTCTTTATTTGTATAGGCTTTAGATCTCATGCTCAACTCTGTGTAAATGTAGCAAAGCCTAGTCTAATTTGATTTAGACATGACCAAGCTTAGTCTTAGCGTTTTCGAGGTCTTGGAAGGCCTCGGTTCACTTGATCTCTCGTCGTGTTGAAGTATAATCGCAATAGTCCGTACTAGCCCTTCTTCCTAAGTGAATTGCTCGCTGAATCATTCTAACCTCAGACAACCCTAGGCCAGTGCAATCCAGAAGGAAAACATGCTTTTAATCTAACTTAATCAAGCCATCTGTAACCTAGCTTAACCCTGACGTGACCAATGCTATATCATAAGTTGTCTCCTTTAGTCAACTTCGTGCCTGTGGTAGAAGTAGCGGAGTAGAATCTTAAGGTATCAGTCATTTTGTTTCTGTGATTAGACCATGTCACAAAAATTAGTTGTAATTTTACGTTTAAGTACCTTTTTTTTTTTTTCATATGACTTGTATCTTTTTTACTTTCATTTTTGACTGTCAATTCAAATGAAATGCATTTATGTAACAAAATAACCTTGATAATGGTGCTGATTTTTGAAAGTCACTGTATATAACTCAAAGTGTTGAATGTAATTAATCAAGAAATGTACACATTACTTGACTTTAAGCAGTGCATAACATGAAACTAAACTTTATCGACAATGTAATTAATTGTAGCTGATGAATGATATTAAGAAATGAGAAGTATGCTGAAAAATTCCATTAGCAAATTCTGTGACTTTTGAAAGTTTTTGAGATTGCATGTAAGTGATGTATGAATAATGTAAGTGTGAATCTGAGGTTCAGTGATTTACATAACTGACAGAGGTGAACTTATTGTTTTCAGGTTGCAATACCTGAATAGCTGGCATAAAAGGACCATAAGAATAATCTGATTTGACATATCACAAGGAAATAGGTATAGAGGTTTTTAATTGTGTAAAGGAATTGGTTTGACTAACTTGTGCTTGTAGAAATCTACATTATGAATCTGTATGTGTTCAAATTTTATTCCTGGTTAACATCCATTACCCTCAGGATCATGTAATAACTAATAGGAATAGATGTGCATGCTATTCACACATGGCTAGAATTTCTGCTTTGCTAATGCATGCTAATTGGAGCCTCCTGATTTCTGTTAAGAGCCTTTGTAGTACAATCTTTATTTCTGAAATGGAAACATACCTTATCACACAAGCAGTTTTAACAGCTTGA